AGTTGTTCCTTCCCCATTAACATAAACTCACTGCCACCTAAAGTACCTGTCTAATCTTTTGAGTTGCTGTTGTCATTTTGATCCCATATAGATAGTTCTTAAAAGAGCATAGTACTCAAGGCAGACATTTTTTACTAGTTATAAGCTGCAAGCTTTTATAACTTAATCTTGGAAATGACATACCATCGCTTCTGCCATATGCTGTTGGTCACACAGACCATTCCTAGTACATGGGGGAGGCAGCTTCACAAGGGCATGAATACCAGGAGGAAGGGATCATTGGGGGCCATCTTGGAGGATAGCTACTGAAAAAAACCAAACCTGTTAACCATCAACTTGATTCTGACTCATAGCGACCTCATAGGACAGAGTAGAACTCCCCTTATGATTTCCAGTGCTGTAATCTTTATGGAAGCAGACTGCCACACCTTTCTCCTGTGGTGGGTTCAAACCTCTGACCTTTTGATAGCAGCCAAGCCCTTTAACCACTGCGCTACCAGGGTTTCTGAGGATAGCTCCTGAGGTAAGGCGCCCAGGGTAGTTCAGAAGAGAGGTAAAAAGGGCATGCATTTGAGTAATGCCTGAATGTAGAGACTTTTTTTTTCAATATTTTATAAAAAAGATTTCAAATATAAAAAGAGTTGAAAGAATTGTACAGTGAACACGTGTACTCACTATCTAGATTCTGTAATTAGCATTTTATTATACGTATTTGCTTTATCACATATCTATCCACCTATCCATCCTTTTATTTTTTTTGATGCATTTCAAAATAAATTGCATAGATCTGAAAGACATTTTCAAAGGTAGAATTGGGAAGACTGTAACTATCAATGGGAAGTAAGAGATGAGGAAGGAACAGAAGATGATTGAGATTTTAGTATTTTACATAATAGGAATAAAAAGGAAGAGGAACAAGTTTTTATGGGAAGATAATTTTAATTTTATACCAGAAGAACTAGTGATTGGTTAAGAACCCACACAATTCGTTGCTGTCAAGTCGATTCCAACTCATGGCGATGCCATGTGTTACAGAGTAGAACTGCTCCATAGGGTCTTCTTGGCTGTAGTCTTTACAGAAACAGATTGCCAGGACATTCTTCCACAGCACTACTGGCTGGATTTGAACTGCCAACCTTTTAGGTTAATAGTTGAACGCAGACTATTTTCATCACCCAGAGACTCAAGATTTGTTAAGAGACGAGCTTAAAAAAATAGACTTGTCAAGAGTTTTTGTGCTGTCTTGATTTCATTTCTGCTGGAAGCCAGTTAGTCATGGTG